TGAGACCACACCAGGAATTGTTGAAAGCCTGAAGGTTCGTTTTCATTTCTTTGTTTAAGTTTATGAATTGAAATCCCCAATTGAAGATTGTAACACGAACTAAAATCGAGCGTATTTCTCGTTTTGCGTTCCAATATGCAAAGAAATATGACCGGAAGAGAGTTACTGCTGTTCATAAAGCCAACATACAAAAGCTGGGAGATGGTCTCTTCCTGAAGGTACTGTTGTACTTCATTAAGTTCCTTTTATAGTGATGGGTTAATTTCGTGAAATCTTATAGGTATGCAAGGAGAATTGGTGAGAATGAGTATCCAGAAATCAAGTTTGATTCGATGATTGTTGACAACGCATCAATGCAGTTGGTGAGCTCAGATACATCTCACATACAATATTTTTATCCTGGTTTATCATTGGGATCTCCACATGCAGAATTTTGCTTCGCGACCTTGGGCGCAATATCAATCTCAGGAGTCTCCGATGTGCCTCGATCCAGTCTGGTATTAGTGTTATGGGGTGCTGTATCGCGTTCATGTGATTTAATTGTGTTGTGTTTTTCACTCCAGTGTAGACAAATGAAACGAACGGTTTATTGTAGACCGGAACACAACACAATAAAGTCTCGACCCTACTCGAGGTCAGCTTATATAGGGTAGGGAATGGCTGATTATGATCAAACTATTTATCAGCTCATTCCTATACGCAACATGTATAGGAATGAGCTGATAAATCCGTTCATGTGATTTAATTGATTTTTCCGATATAGCTCTTTTTTGTAGGTTTGCTTAAATTTTGTGTCGATATTATATTACATTCCTTTACTATCATGCGCAGAAAAGAAAACGGGATACTATGAGCGCAGTTCGCTTACAGACGGCGTTTCCCGAAATCGCGTGGATTGATAATTTGCTTATTTTCGTGTTCCTGTAAGGTTCCTTTGACATGAAGGATGCACTAGTCGGGTGCCGTATCATTTCTTTGAGTCCACTTGATTTAGGTGGTCTTTTTGGTCAAACAGAGCCATACTCATCTCATACATGGCAGAAAGAAGATACTAAGTTTGTCAGTGCAGAGAATAGATTCGTGCTGCTTTACTAATCAATTCCTCTTTATTGGATTGTTCGCTAGCAGTTTGAGTGCTCTCATACTAAATGAAGTTAAAGTGTTCCATTAAGTTTCTTCAATTTTTCCAATGCAGGTTTCTCGACCTCAGCAGTTCGATATTATGTTGATGCCAAATCTCTATGGTAACATTATTTCCAACATCGCTTGTGGCCTCGTCGGAGGTCCAGGACTAGTCTCTGGAATGAATATTGGGAACGAGTATGCAGTATTTGAGACTGTGAGTCTTCTGAAAATATTTTTTTATTTGGTGACGTACTCTGCTATGGAATTTTGTCATCAGTGGTTACCAATTCTTATGTTAGGATTTTGTAATTAGAGCATACTACAACGAAGGTGATGTGAATAGCTCAAAAGCAGTCAAAATGGATGCCGTTGATGATGAATGATATGCATGATGTTTATATGCTTACTATAAACAAAGTCTGGCCTATAAAGGACGAAAAGGTGGCAATTCCGTGGTGCACCAGCCTTCCTTAGCGACGTAGATAAGGCTTCAACTTCCTTTAGACGCTTCCCTGCCTCTACTCGACATGCATTTGGCTATTCTAGCTGCTGGTCTCGTGCAATCGAACTTCAACTGTTTAAAGCAAGAGGAAAAAAGAGCGCGTTATGGTGTCCACCGATAAGAGCCTCCCAACGGGGAAACTAAGGGCCTCATTTTGCGGATTTTAGACCGTTTCCCTTTGGTTTCTTTTTACCGTTGAGAACACTCGGTATAGGTGTGTCTTTTTGGGGTCCCGCATTGCCTAATCCTTTGAACCATCTTCATTGTTTCGTTGCAAGCACACATTTTCGATCCATGGAAGGCGCTCATGAGGGCAGTTCAGATAAGATGCTTTGTTTTTCATGCCTATTTTATATCCATAATAACACTTGGAATTTTTTCCAATATCTTTCACGCATGTTTTTGCGTCAATGCAGACTGTGGTGCCATTTAAAATCGGCAGCTCAATTGTTCATTTCTTTCGCTGTTTGAATTTGCCTTTGATGCGCTTAGTAGTTGCAGTTTTATTCTCAATATTCGCTTT